GCTCCATAATGTTTTGTGTTATTCTTCATACTGTTTTTGCACATGGCTGATATGTATATTTCTGGGTACCTCATCTTTTTATTGTAAATAGAATCTTTTTCTATATATCTTCTAATTGATTATTTTCGATGTCTAAGAAGGGGACCCTGATTTTTTTTTATATTCTTTTGTAATTAGCCAGACTACAAAATTCTCTTTTTTCCTGGTTTTACAGAGAACGACCTTGGGTTTTCACATCTGCAGGTCATAGCTATGGATCTCCATGACCACAGGCTTTATTTTGTTATCTTCTCTAATTGCATTGGCCAGCACATCAGGAACAAGGCTAAATCAGCAGTGATGAATGCTGATGATAGAAATCCTTTGCTTGTTTCTAACATTAATATATCTTGATGACTCTTGTTTGAGGGACTCTTTCATCATGTTAAGAAATTATTTTTATTTCTATTTTATTAATTTAACAAAATTATCAGAAATAGCAAGCTACCAAACACTCTTCTGTGGCACTGAGATAATCCTATGTTTTTTTTTTTTTTTAAAGATTATATTTATTTATTTAAGAAAGCAAGAGCGTGAGAGCAGAGGGGGAGGGGAAGAGGGAGAGATGCAGGCAGATCCCAGGACACACTGGGATCCTGATCTGAGCCGCAGGCAGATGCTCAACCTACTGAGCCACCCAGATATCCCCAAATAATCCTACATTCTGTCTCCCTAGCACCCAGGGTGGCTCACAGCCCAGGCCCTGTACAAGGTAGCAGACTTGGCATAAAGAGGACAGTGCTCTCACACAAGGGTCTGTCCAACTTAAGGCTCGATGTTCATCTACAGCAAGACACATGTCCTCATTATACAGACCACCAGTCAGGACTCGATGGTAGGAAACAGGTAGTAAGTTAAATCTACCCTAAACCGCCTTACGGATGCCAATGTTGTTAACATCCTAATTTTCTCTATCTCTGAATTTTGGATTCTTTGGAAGGCAGCATCATGTCCTGATGGGAAGCCAGGAATGATAGGACACTTTGTACAGTGAACACCCCACTCCCAGGTGCCTGGTCCCACACACCAACCACAGGGAGAGATTTCTATGTGCCTGGGGCTACAGCAAAGATGGCGTGGCTTCCTCCCTTCTTGTCCACTTCCTGAAAGAGCCTGCAAGGAAAGCCACCCATTCGGGTGTGTCTGACACTCTATGTGTCTGCTTCCTAGGGGAGCTAGACCCTAGGAAAACTCCTTCCAGTTGATTTGGAGGAGCGGCATCTGTGTTGTCTATCCGCCCAAGTATCAGCAACCTGGGCCAGCTCATCTGTCACGTGCTTTGACAGAGGAGACCCGACGGTGTATTGCTCCTACAGCTTGATCCAGCAGGCGCTGGATTCTTTCCCCAGGGCTCTGTCCCAGGAGCCTTTACAGTGGACTCGTCCTTCCATGTCTGGGGAGAAATACACCTAATACACATTTCTGTTAACTTGTAAATATTAAAAGAAATACTGTTGTTGTCTGTTTTCCAAATGGTCTATGCAGTAGTCATTTAGCAAATGGCTCCGCATCAAATTTGCTCCTGGCGAGTCAGGCCCGTATGCTGTGTCCTCCTGATGTGTATTCGGGATAGGAAAGTTCTTCTCATTTAGTGAACACGTTTCTTGGTTTCACCGTTGTTTTCCCATTCACTCGGTTCTATCAGTGGCTGTGGCTGGTTCCTTGAGCCAAGCCTTCCATCTGGCATCCCTTCTGGAGGACAGCAAAGACTTCAGAAACCCAACCGGGCGATTCCCAAGGTGCTCAGTTTGTCACGGCTACCAGCTTGTGGTCACCGGACCATGACTTCTCTGTTCAGCTGGTTCAAAGATCAGAGAACTAGATTGCTCACATGATAGCCAACCGCTCTGTCGAACCAATTCTGGTGTCAGGAACCCAGAGTCTTTATTTTTAGGCTGGTTGAGCCGTGCCCCTTCCCAGCAGAGCTGCCTGTCTGGGTTGAAATTCAATCCACGTGTCCTGACCTCATGATACTCATCGTGTCCATCCCTGTGCCTCGGGACTACATGCCCGGGTCCTGCGGCGGCCTGGGGTCAGCGGGACACTGCAGCAAATGTTCCTCATGGTCAGAGATGGCTTTAGTTTGTGTTGCATATTTAACTAACAGTACAGTGAATGAGAAATGAAACCATCCAAAATGGTAAGAGCTATAAAAGCCCTTCCCTTCCTCCTCCCTCCCAGAATGACTCTTTTCTTCCCAAACGTATCACCTGCTACATCCCTGTTTGTGCCACAGGGACTGGTCACGGTAATGGCCCCGGGCTTCACCACCCTTGGCTCAATGTTACTGTGACACAGCCCTTCCCCGACACAGCCTCTCAGCAGATCACATTTCCAGAGGTGGGACAATACTCCATGGCATTAATGTCCCCCAGGCAGCCTCCTCTGGTCTGGGAGGGGGCATTTGACAAGCCCACCCCAAGCACAGGGCAGGCCCAGTCGACACAGCAGAGCAGGCTCATCCCCCTACACCCTTGCCTCCCTCTTCCAGAACTATCTTTTTCTGAGCAGACAGCATCAGGTACTGCTGAGTGAAGGGGGCACCCTGACCATATCTGTCCTGGGGGTCTGGCCTGGGCCACAGGCTGCACCCAGGACAGGGGGAATCATGGTTCACATTGATGTAGGAGCCTTCTGTTTCCAACAGCATCGACAGGCCAGCTGGGCCTGGCTCCTCTTGGCAATGTGAACGGCCCCAAGGACTATGACAGTGAGGAATGCTGGATATCAGAAGGGACTCACCTTCATGCAGTAAGCACAAGGGTTTCTGCGAGACCCACTTCAGCTGTCTACACCAAGGAGGAGCAGCCCAGCTCACGGGTCTCTGGGACAGAGGCTGCCTCTTGCGATCTGGCCCAGGGGGTCCTCCCTCTGCTCCCTGAGAGCTGGGTTCCCCTCCTTCACATTTATCCGTGTTTCCATTTACACTTAAAATACACGTGGACAACAGCTGGGCTACCTGCAGGCAGGGTCTGGTCCATCCCTGGGGACGGGGGTGCTGTCAAGAGGGAGGGGTAGGCTGGTTTTGCTGGCAAGAACACTGTGGCCCCCGTCAGGGCCCAGTGGTCATGACCAGGGCAGGGGAGCTGTTCTGGTAAGAGTGAGAGGATGCTGCAGTGTTCATAGGAAGAAGGGAAAGAGAGGGAGGGACTTCAGCATGTGGCAAAGCGGGGTCATTGGAGGCAGAGGGAGATAGGACAGAGCGCAGGGCAGGCAGCTCTGGCCCCTGCGTGGGACTTGGAGGTCGGGTCAGGTCCAGACCTGCCAAGGGCTCCAGTGTGAGGTCTAGTGTGGGCGCGTTAGGACCCCTCCCCGCTGTCACCATGCTTGTTTCCCTTAGTGTCTGGTCCTTTGTCAGGGACTTTGTTCTGCGTGGGGACCCAGAGGTCCCTTCAATGCTTGTCCTTCTCTGTCCCCTTGGGGGCTCTGGACTCTCTCCTGAAGGGGGGTCTCCTTCTGCCTGGTGACAACACTCTGGGGTCAGTCGAGTAATGCTCCTCCCACGTGAAAACTGTGCACATTCCTAGTTCCTGGGACCGTGCATATCGGGATTGTGCAGACGGGATGAAGTCAAGTGTCTTGAGGTGGAAAGCTCCTCTGGATTTTCTGGGTGGGCCCAGTGTCATCACAGGTCCTTACAAGGCGCAGAGGGACAAGGAGGGGGAAAGTGGAGTCAGGGCTGGGTGCCAGGCTGACTGCCCAGAGGACAGAGGCTGGGCCAGGGGCCAGGGAGTGCGGGTACCCTGGATGCTGGGGAAGGCAAAGACAAAGATTCCTCCCTGGAGCTTCTAGAAGGATCACAGGCCTGCTGACACCTTGATACTCAGACTTCTGACCTCCAGAACCAGGAGAAATGAATGCATGATAAGCCACTAAATTTACAGTGATGACAACAGCTCCAGGAAGCTGACACAAATACCAGCTATTGGTGAAAAGTCCACAATCCTTTCTGAGCTCCCAGCCAGCACACGCAGCATCCACTTGTCCATCTGATGTCCCACAGACAACCTAACCGCAATGTGTCTGAACTCTTTCCTGGTTCCCCCAAACCTGCTCCTCGTTGCCATCCCCCGGGGAGGTGGTGACCACCCAGCCTCCCAGCTACTCAGGCCAGGACCCTGGAGTCACCCTTGGCACCCATGCATGCGGGTGTGGGCAGACTTGCTGGCTCCGCCCTCAAAGTCCACCTGACTGCTCCTCGGGAGCCCATGGTTCACCAAGTAGAAGCCGGGTCTCAACCCCTGCTTGACGGCGGCTGGGACTCGGAAGGCCTGGGTCCCACAGAGGCCTGCCAGGCCCCACACGCTGGCACCCCACTCCTCTCCTACCTGCTCTCTGCTTCTGCCCAGAGTGCCCTTTCAGGAATCTGCTTTGTTGCCCCCCTCCTCCCTGAATCTTTGCTCCAGTGTCCCCTTGATAGGACTACCAGCCCCCACAGACACGGAGAAAGGATGATAAAGGTGCACAGGGCACAGCTAATTGTTATGGGGGTGGGGTGGGGTGGGGGGTAAATAATGGCGGAGGGTGTTGGTTCCACCCATGGCTGCCCACTCGAGGATGGGTGCCACCCAGCACTCTGGAAAGACAGACAAAGCCAGCCTTGGTCCTAAAACGGCTCCATTCTGGCTTTCTGGGTATTCCGCTATTCTATCACCTGTAGCTTGCTATGTCATGGCCGAAGCATCACCAGGCTCAGGAGACAAGGTGACCCTGAAGCTGGGTCAACAGGAAATAAGACTATTCAGGGAACACCTACACGCAGGTTAGAAAGTCAGATCCCCTAGTTTTAATTAGGTGGAAGGCAAGCCCAGAAAGGGGGATGGTTCCCAGCGGCTGGCTTCCCATCCCGTGTCCCACACTGATGCTTCCTGCTGTCTGCCCATCCTGGGGCACCCTGCGAGGCCCCCCCACCGCCCACTGCAGAGGACGCCGGAGAGAGGAGCTCGGCCCCACACACTTACTCCAGTCTTTCCTCTTCTTTCCTTCTCAGTTCAAAGTCCCTCTGAACCACTTCCCAGACGTGCTTGGCCTCTTCGTCCGTAAGCTTGGAAAGATCCAGTTTTCTCCCCATCCTGCTTGTCGGGGTCACACCTGAAAAAGACAGCATCACCGGTGGTCACCCCGGAAGCCTGTGGACAGCAGCTAAGCCACAAAGTAAGAGGCAAAACAGAACACACTGAGTTCTGGGCAGTCTGTCTGGACCTGGGTGGAATGCTTTTCTAAAACAGGCCAATTTGTGTAGTTTAAAGGTGTCATATTTATGTGTGAAATCCCTGCACCCTTGGGACTCACACACTTAGCCACAGGGCCCTCTGTCCTTCCGATGTGACATAACGTCGGTGATGTCAGTATCTAGGGGCACCCCGCTTTCCCCCATTCCTGGGCCATGCTCTGCCACGGGAACCCCAGAAATGCTGGGGAAATGCTAGAGATGCGCTCCATCCCTGGGGCTTCTGCCTTAGAACTCCTGGGGGAGCAACACCACAGAAAAGAGGTAATGTCTCCCCAGATTCCTGGTCAAGGTGCAGAGTCGGCCAGTGCGTGCCCTGGCCTGCTGAGAGGTGGCCCTGGTGTGATGCCTATGAGGTTACAGTGTCTGTGGGGTGGGGGAGGGTGATGTGCGTTCTTCCCATGGTGAGGTCGAAGTGCAGGCCAATGACGGGGTACCAAGCCCGTGGGCAGCAAGGTCAGCGGGAGCTCGGTATACCCGAAGGAGATCGGCTGTGGGAGCTGCAAACCCAGGCGCACGCTGGCTTCACCGGCAGCTCAGGCTGTCCTGACATCCCTGCCTCACCCTCCAAGATCCTGACTTCATTCAACTGCTTAACAGAATTAAGGGCCCTTAACATTGTGTGACGCCCTGATTCTAGGTCACCTGCTGGCCAGGAAGGAGACTTCAGGTCATTTTATGCCCTATTTGTAGACGATAAGCCAGATCCAAGTCAATGCTAAAAGGGCAAGGAAGAAAAACTCAAACGCCAAAAGCCAAGATAAGTAGAACCTTAGAACCTTGCATGCTGTTCAAAGTGCTTCCTATGGGGTGCCTGGGTGGCTCAGTCAGTTAAGTGTCTGCCTTCGTCATGATCCCAGGGTCCTGGGATGCAGCCCAGTGTCTGGATCCCTGCTCAGCAGGCACCCTGCTTCTCCTTCTCCCTCTGCCACTCCTCCTACTTGGGCTCTCACACTCTCTCTCAAATAAATAAATAAAATCTAAAAAAAACCCAAAACACAACAACAGTGTGCCTCGTGGACAGATTTTCAGGCCCTGCCCAGACCTCCTGATTCAGAATTTGTGTTTTAATGAGATTCCCGGGGTTGGGGGTCATGTTCAAAGAGGAGTGGGCCAATGTTGCTGGTCCTGGGACCCCTCTGAGCCGGAAAGGTCTAGTGAAGCAGGACAGGGACACTGAGGGGTTGGCTGAGCAGAGAACGGGGACGGATGGGCCCTCCTGCTGGCTCTTCCCACAGAGAAATCACACGGGCCTCACAGATGCCAATGCTGCCATCACACGGGGCATGACACTGAGGCATTACCACACCAGGGAGGACTTTGCCCAGGGATTTGAGCAAGCAGGGTTGGGGGAGCTTCCCAGAGGGGACCACCCTGCTCACCCCATCATGCCCATCCTTTGAACATTTCTTTGCACCTTCTGCTGTGACTGCCGCTGTCCCATCCGTCCCTGTCAAGCTCCAGGAGGCACAGACTTTGTCCTTTGCCTGGCATGCAGCAGGCACTGTTCTGGGCTCCCAGTGCTCTGACCCCCTGCACACTGCCCCTGGGACCAAGGACGAGGCTGCCACACTCATGTCAGCTCTTCTCTAGGCACCAAGGTTCAGGGGAAGATGTGGGTTGGGTGACAGTTGTGCCGGGGGGAACAGAATTTGAGAATCTCCGTGTGACTTCGACAAGTCTTCACTGGGGACTAAAACCCGTTTCTCGGGATCCCATCTGTCTGCTCTCCCTGGGAATTCTTTAAGCCGACTGAAAACTTGATTTTGCTTCTGAATTCTGGGGAGCAGCTCTCTTCCAGTCTGCTGACCATTTGAATGTTCATCATGGAGACATCAACGAACTTGCTCTGGGCCAGGGATGGACTCGGATTTGTTTCACAAGGGGTGAGTTTTGTCAAGTGACCTTTTCAGGGCAGCATCCAGATACCATCTAAAACGAAAATTTCCTCAGAGCTCCCATGGCCCTCAACGAAAATATTCCCTGACTTGTGCCTTAAATTGGTGAGAAATAATTTCTTCATTTTTTTGCACCAAATCCTCAGTATTTCCCCCTTTGAGCATGATGCTGTGAATGATGCATTCTAAAGTCGCCTCAATGTGCCAGACTCATTCAAACTATTTTCATCGACAGCTGAATTTAGATTTTTGGACAAGAAAGCGTTAAAACAAAATTCCCTGTTGCCGTTCTAGAATACACAATTTCTGGTTTTTGAAAAACTGGAAGAAAAAGTTCTTTCTTGGTGGATGACTGGGGTTGATTCATTTTTCTCAAACCAGTTTTGAAAAAAAAAATTGTATCCTAAGAAGCACATCCATGGTGAGAGAGCCGTGACCGTCAGCTGACTAATTACCATGGTCTCCTCTCGAAAGAGACACACAATTCCAAGCTTCCTTTAAGAAGCTTAGATAGTGGGGCGCCTGGGTGGCTCAGTGGGTTAGGCCGCTGCCTTCGGCTCAGGTCATGGTCTCAGGGTCCTGGGATCGAGCCCCGCATCGGGCTCTCTGCTCAGCAGGGAGCCTGCTTCCTCCTCTCTCTCTGCCTGCCTCCTCCTCTCTCTCTGCCTGCCTCTCTGCCTGCTTGTGATCTCTCTCTGTCAAATAAATAAATAAAAGAAATCTTTTTTAAAAAAAAAAAAAGAAGCTTAGATAGTGAGGGGCGGGGGAGAGAGGCAAAACAAAAGGAAGCTAGAATACTCTTCTCGCTGTGCAAGCCTAGTTAGCCGAGAGCAAGCTCGGTGGCTGGTAAATGGATGGATGGGAAGGCCGCTAACTCGCCAGAACAGTCCCCTGATGCTGAGGACATGGCCTCCCTCCCCTCTCACATCCTTCCTCTCCCCTCCCCGGGGGCCCCCTCCCCAGACTGTTCTTTCTCTTGGGAGCTTCTTGCTCATAAGGAGGGCTTCTTGGTTTCCAAGCTCAGACAGCAAAGACCACCAAGGCCCCAGGGACCAGATGCACGCTGGACCTGGAGGGTCTGGGCACCTCTGGCGGAGGGGTGCCCGCCAAGAGCGGGTGAGCCCCTCAGAAGCAGGCTGACATATGCACAGGGGGGACCAGAAGGCCGAGAGTGACAAGCGGCCCCACCTGCTTCTACAGAAATGGTGGCACCGTGGCTTAGCTCCCTCTTGGAAGTTATGATTGTGACACTGAGTTATCATGGGAAGTGACCTATGTTCGCTATACTCTGTTTAAAAAGCCAGAATGGATGTGATCTAAATTGTGAAAAACATGGATCTGACCCAGCCAAACCAAGCACCATGCGGTTGGACGTCACCTGAAAAATTGAGCTTAGTGCTTATGTTGAGCTCTGACCCAACTTCCAGGAGAGCCGGGGGTGCGGGGCAAGGAGGGAAGGAAGAGGGATTCCAAAGCTGGGATCCGCCTGTAGGAGGCTGTGCCATGCTCTGGGGTGAATGGAGGGGGAGGCTCCCAGCGCAGCCAGGGGCTGAGAGCCAAGGGCCTGTGACCCGGGTCTGCATCTACCGTGACTGAGTCTTCCCACTTAGTGAATTAAGGACATGCGGAGGCTTTTAGTGCTTTTTGAACACTATCTTTAGAAAGTAACCCTAAACTGCATGGAGAATACTTTCGACTTGAGCATTTACAATGCACAGACCAAAAGTCGCTGGCACCCCCTGCGGCTTGCCTCGGGCTGATATGCTGCTGTGGACAACCCCCTGCGAGGCACAGCCACATCATGGGACAAAATGGGCTCACGGAGGGGACAGCCCTTCAACTAATTATCTGTCTCCCATCACTACACACTGTGCTTGCTCCCTGAGACCCTGATCTGCCCCTGGAACCCCTCCACCCACAACAGTCCCGGGGGACCATGAGGGCAGAGAGCCTGTGGACCCACCCACCACCCAGGATAGGGGCTGCTTTTGTCCCTGCCCGCACCCAGGGAAACCTCCCAGGGCGTGTGTGGCTGGGAGAGTCGACTCCGCCGGTCTCCAAGTCATGAGGTTCGTACATGAAATGCTTTCAATTTCGCCTGTTCCACTGCTCAGATTTAATCACCTTTTTAATCTCTGAGACGGTTAGCCCTCCCTAATGGTTTTGTAGTTGTAATGGAGAAAAGCAAGGGTGTCGTGGTGATAAAAGAGTTGCAAAGACCATGGAATGGGTTTTACACCGTGGATATATCCCAGATGCGGACCACTGAATTTCAATGGTGCGTCGTGTTTCTTTCTCTGTTCAAGAATTGCATTCATAGTCTGGCCAAGTTCAAGGGAAGTGTGGGTGGGGGCTCCTCCTACAGGACATTTGACTTGACCAACCTCCTGGGTCAGCTGCCCTTTGAGCCTTGGAACAATGGCGCTTATGAGCGGTCACCTGCCCTGAGCAAATAAAGCTGGAAAACAAGTCCAAGTTTGTCAAGAAATGCCCAACTCCCAAAGGAGGCAGGAAGGCTCTCTGACTCAGAATCGAGGCCACGGCGGTGTCCTTGCTGATAAAGGTGCAGACACATTCCCAAGGGAAGGCAAACGTGCTAGCTGTGGGGCCATCGGTGTTGACCCCGCTGGCTGTTTCCCAAATGCCACCCTCTGCGCTGGCGGGTGTGGCTGTTTCTGTGGCCAAGCCTTGCTGCTCTTTAGAAGCAACCAAAGCCCCAGCCCTTGTCAGCTGCAAAATGAGCGCATTTCCACCCAGAAGCTTCCTCAGACCCCCACTCAAGGTGCTGCTGCTCCAGCAGCAACTGCACTGGGGGAGGTCTCTATAGGTTGCCCCCTGCCCCGCCACCTGTCCCTTCTCTCTGCTCTCTCAGGTCTCTGGGCGGTTGCTGGTGATGCTTGTCATCTATACACACACGTAGCTTCTGCATGTGCAGCTAAAGCT